TTTGTTAAACAGTTTCTGGGCTTCAGAAAAGTCACCAAGATTAACATACCCAACAATCAAAGTAGTCCAGGATACTTCATTTTTGAAATACATTTCATCAAACAGCCTACGGGCACACTCAATTTCTTTACATTTCCCGTATAAATTAACCAAAGCTGAACCCACAAAAACATTACTATCAGCACCATACCTGACTACCAAAGCATGCACGGCCATCCCCTCTCTCAACGCCAGGACTGTGGAGCAAGCTCTGAGCAGCGAAGTTAATGTGTATCCATCGGGAACAACATCTGAAATTTGTTTCATTTGATTCAAAAGTGACAGTGACTGTGCAAGAGACGAATGTTCACAATACACTTTGATAAGCGTGTTCCAGATATATATGTTAGGATGAAGAATGCGCTCAAAGACTCTGGTGGCATATGCAACGTTGGAGGAGAACAAGTTGCTGATTGAAATGAACTGACTTATGAGGACCTGGTCTTGCTCGAACCCTTTGCAGATGATGTGAGTGTGGACTTGTTTTAGGTTCCGGATGCTTATGCAGGCCCTTAGCAGATTCAGAAGCCGTGAAGGTGCAGTGCAGACGGCCGGCGTAGACATCCAGAAGAAGTAATGGGATGAAATCTATGGCCAGCCTGAAATCTATCTAGTCTAGAAGGAAGAAAATTACGTCCAATCCAAATTACAGGCGGGGAAGCTTAGGTCAGTGGTTCCATAGGTAATGTTAAAGCAGGGAGGTGGTTCCCAACGCCTGTGAGAATTCAACTGCATCAAAAAAAGAATTGAATTGGAATTGAAATTCCATGGTAGGGGTGGACACCGTACGGTTCCGGAACCGCCGGTTCCGGTACCGCCACCCCTTGGTACCGGTACCGCGACCGGACCGGCCGGTACCGGTTCCGGTACCCGAACCGGCGGTTCCGGTACCGGACCGGCCACCCCCAATTTTTATTTTTATTTTGCTTTTGTATTAAATTTTTAAAGTGTAAAATTGATTTATTTTTTTGATTATTTTTTGAAAAATCAAGTATCCATAAAAACAATTGAGATCTATGAAAAATATTACGGAGTAAATCTAATTATTGAAAATTTTGGAAGAAACTTTGAAAGAGAGTAACCTTGCTGGACTATTGGAGATGAGGGGCTGGACCGCTGTACCGCCGGACATGTTGCAGGATTGCAGAGTTGCAGGGAAGAAAAAAAAACAGTACGCGGTACCGGTACCGGCGGTTCCGGGACGAAAATTTTGGAACCGGTACCGGTACCGGTTGGGGCGGTTCCGGTACCGGTTCCCGGCACCGGTGTTACGAACTTTCCAACGGTGACAGTATATGGTACCGGCGGTACCGTTGCCGGAACGGTACCGCACCGGTACCGTGTCCAGCCCCATGGGATTCAATTCCATAGAATTGAATTCGGCCAATTCCAATTCATTTTTTGCACTATCAATTCCAAATTTACATAATTTTTGTGCTACCAAATACTAGAATTAAAATTGAAGTCCTCAATTCCAATTCCACAGTTTGAATTCCATATACCAAACGAAATCTAAATGTAAAGTCTAGCAAATTAATGTAGGTAAACTAATTATATATAAATGATACTCCCTCCGTCCTAAAACCATCTTCCCATTTGTGTTTACGAGGTTTGACCGACTTTATTTTCAATTCAATTTATTTGATTGTAGGAGTAAAATTAAAAAATAAAATTTACATATTTAAAAACTACATTGAAAGTTCTATAAAACGAGATGTGACAAGACTATATTATTTTATCAAATAAGTAGCAAAAATAGGTAAAGAAAGTGTTTTAGTTTGACCGCGTGAATAGTAACTGAGAAGATAGTTTTAGGACGGAAGGAGTAATTAAAGTAATATTATTAGAAGAAAATAAATAAATGATCGAAGTGTTTCTTATCAGACTTGATAATTTCTCAATCCTCATCTCGCTTTATCTTTTTACGTTTTTGACTACCGGATAGATGTTTAAAACCTGTAGCTATTGAGTTATTTCTGAAATAAAATTCAAATTCAGAAACTTTACTACTTAGTAAAATCAAATATGGAAAAGCAAGCAAATAAATTCATATATCATAAACTCATATCAATTGATTCAATTTGTCATTTTTACAATTTTTTTTCTTTTTCAGTCTTTTTAAATATATCTTAAATTCATGTCAATTTATCAATTTTTCAGTTTTTTTTAGTTTTTCAATTTTTTTATATATATCATAAATTCAAATCAATTCATCCAAATCAAATAAAGAATATATAGAACCATTAATTCATTCATATTTCATAGCAATTAGCAAAGATTTCAAACTAATAATTAATAATTAACACTAGATTTTAAATCCAAAGAATGAAACAATGAAAGAAAGAAAATTAGAAAAAAATTGAATTTATTCCATAAAAAGTCCCCAGTTATAGGTCGTTTTACATATTTAGTCCCTACATATCAAATATTGCTAATTTAGTCCTCAATTATTATATCATTTTTCACGAATGGTCCTTTGTTAACGTTTTTGTTAAGAACATGGATAAAATTGTATATTCATACTTCTCTGTCTTCTCAATTAAGCTTCTTCCCTCCTCTCGTACTCTTTCCCAAACTCGTCGCTCAGTTTGAAACTCTAAACCCAAAACTGAAATTATCAATCCTCTCTCAATTATTAGTCTTTCTAGTGGAACCTAAAATCAAAACCAATAAGCTTTATGGATGAGTTTTGTCGGTTAGTCTCAAGAAATTGGAAAGAAAATAAACATTAAAACTCATCCATGCAGGTTACTCGTTTCGAATTTGGGTTCCACTGGTTAGACAAACAATTGAGAGAAGAGTGATGATTTCGGTTTTGGGTTCAAATCTTCAAACTCAGCGACGGGTTTGGGAAAGGAGTGCGAGTGAAGAGAAGAAGCTTAAATGAGGAGAGAAAGGAGTGTGAATTTATAATTTTATCCATGTTCTTAACGGAAATGTTAACAAAGAATGTGATTTTTCGCTGGCTAGGTCTTGGCCGAGTGATAATCGATTATCACCTCTGATAATCGACTATTTTCCCTAGCAGATTTGAACTCAAAGTTCAAAACGCTAGATAGTCGATTATCACCTTATATATAATCGATTATCATGTTTTTGCTACCAAATCCAGAATTTTCAGAGAGGTCTGATAGTCGATTATCAGAACTTGATAATCGATTATCAAGTGTTACCGTTGCCCTCTAACGAATGGAATTTTAAATTTTTGGACAAATAATCCTTTGATAATCAATTACCATGTTAGGATAATCGACTATCACACAGTGTTTTCAAAACATTTGTCCTGGTCTTGTTGGGAGTTCATGCAATGGTTACACCTCCTTTTAGACTATAAAATGGCACCAAATCTCTTATTTTACACACAATTCTTCAACTATCAATTCTCCTTCATTTCATTCTCATCTTTCATATTTCATTGATCTTTGAGAGCCAATTCTTGAAGAAATTGTCGCTTTTTTAAACGTTCATTTGTTTACTCATATTTATTCTATAAGAGAGTATTGTTCTTGAGTGCTTAAGTATTTTTATACACTTGAAGGGAGGTTTTTTCCCTTGTTGTAGTTCAAATGAAGTTTTTGTTCTTTTGTGTGAAGTCTTGGAGTGCGGTATCTCCAAGCAAGTGGAGTTGAGGCTCGTGTGACTTGAGTTCTCAAGTTGTATCGATTTGTTGAGCACCTTTAAGCTTAACGGATTTAGTAGGAATTTCGAGAGAGTCTCTCGGGAGATTGGATTAGCCACAAGTTGTAGTGAACCAGTATAAAACACGATGTGCTCTTTCCTTACGCTCTTTACTTTCTTTCACTTCATTTCAAATTCCTGTGATTTTTTTTAAATGTTATTCACCTCCCTTATGGCATTGGGCCTTTATTCTGACACCTCCAAGCTTTGTTATTATTTTTCTCACTCTTTTGAATAAGAAGCAGACCCTTCAAGTGCTTCAAATCGAAAGAATAAGGTCCACCATATAGCAACTCTCGGCCTCTGCCTGCTAGCATGGACTCGGCTTTCCCATCATTCTACTCCGACAAGAAGGGCTCGAGCATAAGTAAAACACGCACTCAGCCTCTGCGGGACTCACACCCAACCTCTAACGTCATAGGACTTAGGCATGAAATCACGAGATGCTTTGGATCCTACATCTGTGGGACCACTAATGGACATCTCAATGAATAATAAACTCATACAATATCTCAATGCATGTATTAGAACATATATTCCCTATACCCCGTCATGGACCTGTACCTAATGGGTCTTACATGGGCCTTGTTGTAGACAATAGCTACGTGACAAACAATTGGAGACATGTAACTCGTATATAAGCCTCCTTCTATTTCAAGGGGAGGCATCAGAATCCTTTACCATAATCAATATTATAATCAAAGCATACTCATACTCGGCTTGTTCGATTACTCTCTACCTAGTGTACTCTAGGCCTGGGTTCATAAACCCATCAAAATGGTTTTAACATAATTTGTGAGTGCATGGGAGCTTGTGAATATAGGTATATGAAGTCATATCCTTACATTTATTTCTACCTATATTTTATGATAGTTTGGTGTTTCAACTTTGTTTTTGTGAACCGATTCTGAACGGATTTTTGTTGTACTTGAAGCACTCAAACAAACATTAGCTCTTATATAGTTTGCTAAAAACACAAGAATAAGCAAACTAAGTCTAACGGGCCCCATTGCACAGTCAATCAGAAGAAAGAAGGCTAAATCAATTGGGTCGGGTTCTCAGTCTGACTCTGATATTCTCACGATGATATCAGTTTGAAAATGGTTGAACAAAAATGATTGTTCAATCTTAGGGAAGAAGAGGATAGAGAAAGCGGAGCTCGAAGTAATGGAAAATGACCTTAAAACATTACGAGATTTAAAAAATGTGTTACGAGAAAAAACAAATAAGATCAAAGCTAAATAGAATATTCTTGTGTTTTTTAATTAGTGGAACTTTCTTATTAATTTAATTTACTTTGTTTTATTGAATATACTTTTTATTTAATAAGTTATTATGGTTTAAATTTAATTAATTTATGAAACTTATTAATTTACTTTTAATACAGGGAAGACCTTTTTCCCTTTAAGATCTTAAAGAGAAAGGTCTTTTTCCCTTTAAGACAGAACTAGTGGGTCAATGCTTACTTGGGCCGATATTATTTACTTTCGGATATTCATTGCAAGCACTCAGGTTCTTGTCTGCCCTGACAATAAGATCATAGGCGGCAGAGAAATCCACAGTGGTCATGATGGACACCCGTGACCTGAGATCAGGTCGAAGTTTTTTTCTGAATTCCTCAATTCGATCAACTGGAGTGCTCACCAATGTTGGCGCACATTTGGCAAGATTGGTAAACTTTTGACGATATTCAAGGAGTGTCATACTCCCCTTTTGTAATTCAACAAATTCTGCATGTTTCTCTTCACAAAAACGCTTAGGAGTGTATTCTTGTTTGAAAGCCCATTCGAAGTATGGCCAAGTCCACGGCTTTGGGGTTTCAGCACTCTCATTAGTTTTCTTTCACCACTCATAGGCTTCCTGGTAGAGTAATTGAGAAGCATGCCTTGGATAGTTGCCAATTGGTACACCCAGATCTTCCAAAACCCGAGCAGTTTGCTCAATCCAATCTCACGCAATTTGGGGTTCAGCTATGCGATCCCCAAAGAATATTTCAGCACCGTTATCCCTTAACGTTTTATAGGTTACCACACGAGGTGGCAGTGGTGGAGGTGGTTGGAACATTGGAGTTTGTTGTAAGACATTAGCCAAAAAACAGGTATCAGAAGGTCGGGTTGACCACCAGCGTTTGGATTGTTTTTGATGTTTTGCAGATTGACATGCTCATTGTGGACGGGAGGAGTGGAGCTAGACGCTTCGGTATGAAGACTTACGTGTTGGTTGTTGTTGCCTTGACCATGAGCAGTTTCTTGACTCATTCTACAATAACAAAAATTTCTTTATTAGGATTCTTGTATTTGAGTTCATGACAGAAATTGCAAAGGATTCAATAATTGATACAATCAAAGGATTTGAAACTAACAACACGAAGAATTCTAAACGTTTGCATTTCAATAGTTTTATTATCTCGAGTCCATGAAAGGGTCTTCCACACTGGATCCACAGATGCTGTTCGCAGAGTCTACACTGAACATCTCTTCAGGATCGTTTCGTTCCCACACAGCTTTGCGGCGCAGATAAATTTTTCGTTTCATTAATCTTGCGATGCGATGAGCACGTTGATAATGTATCAGAGGGTCATAAATTTTACTTTATTCTTTCGTCTCTTGCTGAGTACGAAAGTTCGACTTGAGTCAACACTTGATATCATTTGGGAGTTAACAATTGACAAATATGGAAATTTAATACAGTTAAATTCAATACTTAAATTTTTGTTACCTTCCTAAAGCAGAAGGATGTGAGGGTTGTGGATGTGATTGACATTTTTTATATCGAAATATATATGTAATACATACACACACACAGATATATATATATATATATATATATATATATATATATATATATATATATATATTAAAAGTCAATTTTTTTGATCCAAATATCGATTTTAATGGAATTTGCTACGATACCAAATTGTAACACCCTAATTCGTCCAGGTCTGGAGCCCCTTTCAAACTAAAGTATTAACTTAGATTCCTACATCCGTGGGCCCACTAATGGACATCTCCATGAATAATGCACCCGTGCAATATCTCAATGTGTATTAGAACATATATTCCTTATACCTCGTCATGGACCCCGTACCTAATGAGTCTAACATGGGCCTTGTTGTAGACAATGGCTACGTGACAAATAATTGGAGACATGTAACTCCTGCATAAGCCCCCTTCCATTTCAAGGGGAGGCAGCATAGGACCATAATCAATACTATAATCAAAGCATACTCATACTCGGCTTGTTCGATTACTCTCTACCTAGTGTACTCTAGGCCTGGGTTCATAAACCTATCAAGATGGTTTAACATATTTTGTGAGTGCATGTGAGCTTGTGAACGTAGGTGTATAAAGTCATATCCTTACATTTATTTCTACTTATATTCTATGATAGTTTGGTGTTTCAACTTTGTTTTTGTGAACCGGTTCTGAGCGGATTTTTGTTGTAACTGACAAACAAACATTAGCTCTTATATAGTTTGCTAATATTAAAACACAAGAATTAGCAAACTAAGGCTAACAGACCCCATTGCATAGTCAATCAGAAGAAAGAAGGCTAAATCTATTGGGTCAGGTTCTGGGTCTGACTTGACTATGTTTCTTCTCACGATGATATCCGTTTTGAAACGTTACGGGATTTAAAAAAATGTGTTACGAGAAAAAACAAACGAGATCAAAGCTAAATAGAATATTCTTGTGTTTTTTTTATTAGTGGAACTTTTTTATTAATTTAATGTACCTTGTTTTATTGAATATACTTTTTATTTAATAAATTATTATGGTTTAAATTTAATTAATTGATGAAACTTATTAATTTACTTTTACAAAATGTGTATTAAAAAATAAAATAAAAGTTTGAAGTTATAAAAGAAAAGTTGAAGCCCACGGTTTGGAGCTCACTCTTCAAAAGAAGGTTTAAGCCATTAAGAGGGGTTCTGATATGGCAGGAGAAAGTTTGAAGCCGGTTTGAAGTTTGGGGTGATCTAAGTTGAGCCAGAATCTCGAAGTCTTACCGTCGTCTGTCGCCCACTTGCTCGTCTTAACCGGCGCTAGTGAGAAATCCCCTTTCGAAATCGCTAAATCAACTTCAGTAGAAGCTGCCGCATGTTTTGAGAGCTAAACTACCGTATGTAAATATTGCATTTCCCGTTGCTATTTCATCTCAAATCTGCCCGAACGAACTCGCACGTTTTGAGAACTGAGTCTACTTTAATTATTACTCCGTATTATTTTTCAATTCAAGGCAGCTAAAATGACTAAATCCAGAGATGAATCTCCGGATTGGCTTCGATCTTTTCAGGTAAACTAACCGAGTCTCTTATTTTTCCTTAGAATTGAGTTTTTTTTCCTTCTAGAGCTGTGGTTTCTTTTATAGAGTTAATAATTTCATTGTAATGTAATGTGTACTTTAAGCTGCTGTTATATTTTATGTAAATGGCATAAAGACTATAGCATGTCATTTAAGTGTGCTTTATTTCTACTCTAAAATTATATAGCAGCCAGAGTTGATCTGTTTTTTTTAAGTCATTGATTCATGGGGTATGTTTGTTGGTCCAACGATATTAGTTTGGTTCAGGATTTGTAGATTCTGTAAATTGAGCACATTCATATGCTTAGTTTGATTTTGTAAAGTTTCACGTTAATTGAGCATGTTAATGCTAAAATAGGCACCAACTATAACAGCATTGTCTTCGGGGTCAGCATCGCCTTCAAGTGATTGCCCTCTTAGTGAAGACGATGATGATGATGATGGATTGAGTCTTGGGAAACTGTTTTGTATAAATAAATCCAATAAAACAGTGACTGAAAACAATCAAAATGGTGATGATTCATTAATCAAGACACCTTCTATAGAAAAGTTTTCTAGTAAGAATGAAAGATTTGCCCATACACTGGGAAAGAGAAAGAGAGAGAGTCAGCCTGGAAATGAAGGTAGGTGTTTGGCTTTATGCTTTCCTAATGTTGTCAAACTTGTCACTGTGCATTATTTTTTCTTGAAGCATAAGAAGATGATAATTTATCCTCTCTAATTGTACAGGTGAAGATGTTGCTGATATCAAGTTCTTTTCTAAGAGAAAAACTAAAAAGAAGTCTTTGTCTCCTGAGGTAGGAAGTGCTTGGCCAATTAAGTTAGGTTGGTACTTGTGGATGACCATGGGTGATGTTCTCTTTGGTCATGTAACTTATGGGTATGAACCATATCCTGCAAGGGATTATGGCTCAATTGTTGTTGTTATTGATATAGAGGAATAAATTTAATTATGTATCTTTTAACTATCAATGCTGCATATGTGCAGCCTTCATGTTCATGCTCCCTTTGACAATAACAACAAACCCAGTATACTCCCAACTATGTAGGATCCCAGATGTATGCAACCTTACCTCTGTAAAAACAAAGAGGATATTTCCGGTAGACCTTAGATACATTGATGCAATTACTTCCTATAAGACACAGGGCGCCCCCTCCATTTTGAAAGTATAGTCCAGTAAAAACATCTTTATCATAAATAAGTGGCCATTTAGAACCCTATATAACAAAACACTGTGCTGTCTTTGTTGACTCACTATTTTGTTAATATGGGATATTATGTTTCCCAGTAAAATGAAAACAAAATAGAAATAAAAGAGAGACAAGATCTTCCTCTGGAGGGGTATAACTGAACAAGAGTTGAAAAAATAACAATTGCCTTAAAAACAATTTTTATTAAGAGGGGTATCCCTGGGAAGTGACAAGTTGTGACAAAATTATTAGTTCCCTCCAAAACGTGATTTGAACTTAATGGACTATTATTCCACAGTGGATGAAGTAGATGCATTTTTGGGTAATGGAAACATAGAATTTAAAGAAGGAACTATTTTGGACAATTGGACTCACCCCTTACCATCATTTGGAGTACTGCCGTGAACATGTTTAATTTAAGTTTTCATAAAATTGACCATTTTATTACAATTAGGATGTATTAAAACTCTCCGTTCATAAACTAAAAACTATCAAGTTTAACTGATGATCAGTTGACCTCACATTTCCATCCCTGGTCTTTGTGGTCAAAACTTTATTAGATCCTAGTTGCGTTACACATCATGCTAACAGTCCTCACATTGGAAGATCACTAGATGCATATGATGTTTTAAACTTCTGACCATATTGGTGTGCTCCTCAAGGATTATTGTTCTCTTACAGGAGCCAAAACATTCAACTTTGAGATTATCAGCCGACTATGAGTCTTGTCCTGATACCAGTGCTGTTAGAAAGGATAATATCCTTGACAAAGACTTGCATGCACACAATGAAGCTCCAGACATGAAACCTGAAGGAACAAAAGATCTAGTATTCCTTGAAAGTGATGAAGAATCTACACCCACCAAGAAATTGAAGCTGCAATCTCCAACTAAACAAATGAAAAAAGAAAACTATTCACCGAAGAAGAAGAAAGCAGTGATAGCAAAAAATGATGGTAATTAGCCATTTTTGGATCTTCTGGACATTGTAGTGACCCTTGTTAAACATGGGTATATGGAATGAATGTAATCCAGCTTTAGGAACTCTAACATAGCATATTTTCACTCTTCAACTTTTACTTGTTGAACTCTCTAGGAATTGCAACTTCTCTAAACTGGATATTTATTTATTTTTTTTCTATCATTTAGATGTA